GAGGAGCTTTTGAACAACGTCAAGAAAACTGACAAGTTTGATGTCTTGATCGTCGGTGGTGGTGCTACCGGTACTGGTACCGCCGTGGATGCTGCTTCTCGTGGTCTTAACGTGTGTCTCTTGGAGAGAAGCGACTTTGCCTCCGGTACCTCCTCCAAGTCCACCAAGATGGCCCACGGTGGTGTCAGATATTTGGAAAAGGCTATTTTCCAGCTCTCCAAGGACCAGTTGGACTTGGTGATCGAGGCCTTGAACGAGAGAGGTAACATGCTTAGAACTGCTCCTCACTTGTGTTCCGTGCTCCCCATCATGATCCCTGTCTACAAGTGGTGGCAAGTGCCCTACTTCTTCATTGGCTGCAAAATGTACGATTGGTTTGCCGGCCACCAGAACTTGAGATCCTCCACCGTGTTTTCCGCTGAAACTTTCGGCGCCATTGCCCCTATGATTGATACTGCCAACATTAAGGCCGCCTGTGTTTACCACGACGGTACTTTCAACGATGCTAGATTTAACGCTACTTTGGCTGTCACCGCCGTTGACCACGGTGCAACCGTTTTGAACTACATGGAAGTCAAGCAATTGATCAAGGAAGATGGCAAGTTGGTTGGTGCTCTCGCAGTCGACAAGGAGACTGGCGAGGAGTACAGAATCAAGGCTACCGCTACTGTTAACGCTACTGGACCTTTCGCTGACAAGCTTTTGGAAATGGACGAGGACCCTCAAGGCTTGCCTCCTAAGCAGGAGCAAGCCCCAAGAATGGTTGTTCCTTCCTCCGGTGTTCACATTGTCTTGCCTGAGTACTACGGTCCAACTTCCATGGGTTTGTTGGATCCTTCCACTTCTGACGGTAGAGTTATGTTCTTCTTGCCATGGCAAGGTAAGGTTCTCGCTGGTACTACTGACACCCCATTGAAGAAGGTTCCAAACAACCCTGTGCCAACCGAGGAGGAAATCACTGACATTTTGGGCGAGTTGCAAAAGTACATTGTGTTCCCTGTCAACAGAGAGGATGTTTTGTCTGCCTGGTCTGGTATCAGACCTTTGGTTCAGGACCCTGCTAAGATTCCAAAGGGTAAGGATGCTAACTCTGGTACCCAGGGCTTGGTTCGTTCTTACTTGATCACTATCTCCGAGTCTGGTTTACTTACCATTTCCGGTGGTAAGTGGACTACCTACAGAGAGATGGCCCAGGAGACTGTCGACACCTTGGTGAAGAAGTACGACTTTGGTGGCAAGAACTTGAAATCTTGTCAGACCAACAAGATCTTGCTTGCCGGTGGTGAGGACTACTCTAAGAACTACTCTGCTCGTTTGATTCACGAGTACAAGATCCCATTGAAGTTGGCTAAGCACTTGAGTCACAACTACGGCTCTAGAGCTGCCCTCATCTTGGAGTTGTATCAGCAAAATGACTACAACAAGTTGCCAATCACATTGGCTGCCACTCACGAATACATCCCTAACGAAACCAAAAACACCGACGGCACCATCTTGTCCTACCAGTCCTTCGACGAGCCTTTCACCATTGCTGAGTTGAAGTACTCCTTGCAGTACGAGTACATCAGACACCCTCTCGATTTCTTGGCCAGAAGAACTAGATTGGCTTTCTTGAACGCCAGAGAGGCTTTGAGCGCTGTTGACGGTGTTGTTGAAATCATGAGAAACGAGTTTAAGTGGGATGACGAGACCACGAAGAGATTGTCCGACGAGACCAAGGAATACATCAGCCTGATGGGTGTTTCCTCCCAAAAATTCAACGTCACTGACTTTGTTGTTCAGTAATCAGGCTTAATGCTCCACGACCAAGGTAAAGAAAATGCCTATTTATTAGATTCAATAGATCAAGATACACCACTTCTTAAATGGCTGCAAATTACAGTCCTGTAGAGATCAGCTACGCATCTACGTCAACTTCTCTCACGTGCCCGCACGTCTAGATATGGCCAGACCGAAATTCATTTTCCTATTACTATCTGTCGTTGCCGCCGTGTGGTTATCCAAATTCTTCAAAATTGCCCAGTCACTGAAGATGGTTGCTGTTGATCATCTCTACGCTAAAGAATTGAAGATTGCTTCTCTTGCGGTCAAGAGAGCCTCGGTACTCACAAAGGGACTCAGTGATTCCATTGTGGAGTTGTCTAAAAGTGGCACACAAATCAAAAATGATAAGTCGCCTGTTACTGTCGGTGACTATGCATCGCAAGCATTGATCAACAAGGCCATCAAGCTCAGTTTCCCAGATGACAACATTGTCGGAGAGGAGGACTCTCTGTCTTTGAAGGATGGATCTGAAGAGGCCAATGCACTCAGCAAGCGTATCTTGGATCTATTAAGTGAAACACAACAAAAAACTGGCAAATCTTCAGAGGATCTCGGAGAGCTTAAAGATTTGAAGGAGGTTTACGAGAGCATTGACTTCGGTAATTATGAGGGGGGATCTAAAGGCAGATTTTGGGCACTTGATCCAATTGATGGTACCAAGGGTTTTTTGAGAGGTGACCAATTTGCCGTGTGTTTGGCCCTTATTGAAGACGGAAAGGTTGTTCTTGGTGTCATTGGTTGCCCTAACTTACCTGAGCATATCGTCCTGAATGACAAACAATCTGGTACTAAAGGAGGCTTGTTCTCTGCTGTTAAGGGCGTCGGATCCTTTTACACACCCCTTTTTGAGACGGATGAGTTTGTGCCCTTGAAGGACCAAGAAAAAATCAAAATGACGTCTGAGACTTCTTCGGCCACCCTCAAAGTGGTGGAGGGAGTTGAGAAGGGCCATTCTTCGCATTCTACCCAGTCTCAGATCAAACTGAAGTTGGGATTCAGTGAAGATACTGTTGCTCAGCAGACTATCAACTTGGACTCTCAAGTCAAATATTGTGTTTTGGCCAAGGGTCAGGCAGATATCTACTTGCGTTTGCCTGTCAGCGATACTTACAGGGAGAAAATCTGGGATCATGCAGCTGGTTACATCTTGATTTATGAGAGCGGTGGTCAAGTAGGTGACATTGGAGGCCAAGCGCTCGACTTTGGTAAAGGTAGACAATTGGACTCTAAAGGTGTGATCGCCGCAAACAAGGCAATTTTCCCGAAGGTGATCGAAGCTGTCAAGGACGTGTTGAGCCAGGATGCTTAAACTATGTACATGCAATATTTTCGAATGAATTATTCAGTAACCTCAACAACGTGGTAGTTTTGTTTACCGGTTCTGATGAGAAACAATTTCTCATCCATCAAGTGGTTTTCTTTATCAAAAAGAACCACATCATCTGGGTCAACGAATTGGTCTCTGTTCACACCAAAGTAAATGCCGCCACCCTTAATGAGATTCTTGGTTTCATTCTTTGACTTGTTGAGGATCTTGGAAAGCAATGTGCTCATCTTCAAATCGTCTGGGTTCCGGAACGAGCTAAGCAGAATTCTTTGCAAGATTCCAGAATTTCTAAATTTACTGATCAACTTGTCCGCAGTGAGGTCATCATCAAATGGCTGGTCTGGAGTGGGGAACAAAAAGCTAGTGATGTAAGCCATCTCATCTCCTACACCAGGGCCGTGAATCATGTCAACAACCTCCCTGGCGAGCACTCTCTGAGCAATTCTGTTACCAGGATCTTCTTCGTGTTTGCGCAATACTATCGAATCAATAGATTCTGTTGGCAACAAAGTGAGTGCTCTCAAAAGCTTACTCACAAGATCATCGGGCGAGTTGATGAAATACTGATAAAGCTGATATGGAGTAGTGAGCTTGCTACTGATAAAAACAGCGTTTCCGGCAGACTTGCCAAATTTCTCTCCTGAAGCGGTTGTCAACAAAGGGACTGTCATTCCGTAAGCAGGCAATTCTTTGCCGTCTTTACCAACTCCACCAGACAGGCGCTGAACTCTGGAAATGAAGTCAACACCAGCAGTAATGTTGCCCCACTGATCATTTCCTCCTAACTGGACATTCACGCCCTCGGTCTTGAAAAGATGCCAAAAGTCGTAAGCCTGCAAGACCTGGTATGCAAATTCGTTGAAACCGATACCCTGTTGAGATTGCAAGCGAGACAGGATAGAATCTCTTGCAAGCATTTGAGACACTCGTATGTGAGTTCCATAAGTTGATAAGAAGTCGAGGAATGAGATTGACTTCCACCATGAAGCATTGTTAGCACTATGGATTTTACCGGCTCCTTTGGCATCAATGTGTCTAGACTCAGCGTACTTAACGCCGTTAGCCAAGAAGCTTTTGATCTGTGCTTGTATCTTCTCCACATTTGCAGCTCTTTCCTGATTATCAATCAACGCCCTCTCGGTCTTTCTTCCACTGGGGTCACCAACTGCACCGGTGGCGCCACCAACAAGACCAACAGCATCATGACCTCGTAAGACAAAATGGAGAAGAACCATTAAAGGAAGCAAGTTACCCAAATGTAAGGATTCAGCAGTGGGATCAGCACCACAGTAGAGTTTCATCTTTTTGGCATTGGCCTCAGTGAGCTTGTACAAATCGTCACTGGTAAGTGACTCCACAAGGCCTCTGTTGAGTAAATGACCCACAAGCGAGCCCTCCAAATCTGTCTTGTAGAACTCTGGCTTCGTGAGTTCTGTCACCGATGGTACAATTGAGATAGTATCTGGAGGTAGCTCCACGGTGGGCACAGTAGACTGCCACCTTTGATTAGAAGCGAGCAATTTGCCCACTAAAGGCTGGTATTGGCGTCTGGCTAGGCGAGGACCTGGTTTCTGAAGTAGTTTTAGCATGCGTCGAAGTTGACTGTGCGCGATATGACTTATAGTACTTCAGGCGATAAAGCATATCCACCAGATCTAGCCGGTTTTTCATATATCGGGTGGCGAGAAAATCAGGAAATACTTTGATTGTGTAGTACTAAAAGTGTTAATTAATATATTGCAAGTAATGTTTGGAACATCCTAGGCCTACTTACTGGGTCATAGAAACTCATCCACAACCGTTAGATACATCGCGCATCTCATCTCTTTACTACCAAGACTCGAAACATATGTCTCCCGGACCAGCACCTGCAGGGCTGGATGGCTCCGGTTCCAAGAAACGAAAAAGAAAGAGGTCTAAGAAAGCTCACACTGAGTCAGGCAACCTGGAAGCGGATGTCCATACCAACAGAGTTAACAAGAAGACGAAGTTCACCGAAGACGACATCGAGTTACCCAATGGGGATCATCTGCAGCCTATCGAGTCCAGCATTCTAGAGAACGAAGTGAAGAGTAACTTCGAGGAGGACTTTATCGATACAACAAGTAAGCCCAAAGAAGCTGTGCCCGAGAAACAAACCACTGAAGAGGATTCATCTCAACCCAGTGAGGATGCATCCAAGATAGCCAAAAGCGAGTTTAAAGAGAACCTGAAGCATAAACAAATTACGGAGATCAAAAATAGTGCAAAGAAGTCGAAAAAAAAGAGAGCTGTCTTTTATGATGATAATAGCGACGACGAGGACGATGATGGCAGTGGGTTTCAAACCCATAGCACTACTTCACGAGCAGTTCTCAAGGAGAAAGCGCAAAACCTTCTCGAACTCAGAAAAACCCTTCCCATTTATCATCATAAGGATAAGATCATTTCCTACGTTCAGAATAATCAGGTCGTCGTCGTTATCGGTGAGACAGGTTCAGGTAAATCCACCCAGATTCCTCAGTTCTTAATCCCGCTCAACAAGAAACGGATTGCTGTTACCCAACCACGTCGAGTTGCAGCTGCATCGTTAGCAACTAGAGTTAGCGAAGAATTTGGCTGCCCGTTAGGCGAAGAGATCGGTTATCAAGTTCGATTCTCCAACGTCACATCGCATAACACGAAAGTCAATTACCTCACGGACGGTATGTTAATCAGAGAGCTTATGTTGGATGACAAACTCTCCAAGTACAGCACCATAGTAATCGATGAGGCCCACGAAAGAACCGTGCTCACAGATCTCACACTTGGCTTCCTTAAGCAATTGATCGTGAGTGGAAGAAGAAAAGACCTCAAAATTATTGTCATGTCTGCTACGTTGAATGCTGACCTTTTCAGCAAATTCTTTGACTATGCACCAATTTTGTATGTCGAGGGAAGGATGTATCCAGTTACAAAGCATTATCTTAGCGGTTCTTCTGAAGACATCGTCGACACAATGGTGAGATCAATTGTTCAAATCAATATGTCAGAGCAGGAAGGAGATTTCTTATGCTTCCTCCCTGGTCAGGAGGAAATTGACAATTGCGTCACCATCTTGAACACACTAGCACCACTGCTTCCCAAAGAGGCTCCTATGATCGTCGCTTTACCTCTTTATGCTGCATTGTCTCCGGGCCAGCAGATCAAAATTTTTGAAAAACTAGGCCCACGAAAGAGGAAAGTCATTCTAGCGACAAATATCGCAGAAACATCGATCACTGTCAGTGGCGTCAAGTACGTCATTGACTCGGGGTTGAGAAAAGTCAAGGTGTGGAGGCATCAACTTGGCTTATCAACATTACTCACGACCCCCATTTCTCAAGCATCGGCCAAACAAAGGGCTGGTAGAGCAGGTAGAGAAAGTGAGGGTAAGGTGTTCAGACTATATTCTGAAAAGCTTTTTCTCAACAAGCTACCTAAACAACAAGAAGCTGAAATTGTCCGTAATGACATTATCCTACCTGTCTTAACCTTAAAAAAGATGGGAGTGGAAGACCTTTTAAATTGGACATGGCTTGAGCACCCTGGTAAGGAAGCCATTCTTGGTGCTCTCCATACATTGCATTTCTTGGGAGCGCTTAATGAGACTGGTAAAATAACGTCACTTGGCTATAAGATGGCCGTGTTACCATTACCCCCATCCTTGTCGGCCGTTCTCATCTCTGCCTTCGATAATGGCGTCCTCCAAGATGTTATTGATATTGTTTCCTGTCTATCCGTTGAAAACTTGATTCTTAATGTGACCGGAAACGGAGATCTTAGAGACGAGATTAACTATAAACGGAGGCAATACTGTCCTTTGGGTACAAGGCTGGGTGACTTGATCGCACTCAAAGAGTATTTCAACTACTACAAGGAACTTAGTGATTCAAGCCACACAGCTGAGCTCAAGGCTTGGTGCAAGGAATTATTCTTCAGCTACAAAGGCTTCAAGAATGTCATGAGAGTCAGAAAACAGATAACAGACTATATGCTCTCTACCATCAAGCAGGACGATTCCATTTCACAATCGGAAAAAGAAAATCAGCTCAAGAAGCTCAGAAATCAGCTCAGCTCTGGTGATGACCACGAGATTATTGAAGAGGATGATTTCAAACTGCTTTCCAAAGCATTGGATATCCCAGCGATTCTCAAATCTTTTGTGAAGGGCTTTGCGCTTAACACCGCAATTGGGATGCCTGACAGGTCATTTAGAACTTGTTCAACGGGTCAACTTATCAGCATTCATCCATCATCTAATTTATTTGGCAAGGCGAACATTGACGCCATCATGTATATTGAGTTCGTCTACACCGCCAAGGCTTACGGCAGAAACTGCTCAGTGATTGAGCTTGCCTGGCTTCAAGAGGTGGCTCCAAACCTTCTTGGTGGTGCCAAAGTCAGCATTAATGAGTAAATAGACTTAGATATATAAAGCTATAGAATGGATCCATCTTTGCAGCCATGTTGGGTGCACGGGTGCAAGTTATGCACAAGGCTACTCACTTTGAGTTATCTACACGGTAGGAACTACATGTCTAAAGATGAACCACTTCCGCTAATAGTTGCAGATGACGAAATTTACGAAGACGATGAAGCAGGCCTTTTTGTGAGTCTAAGGACTATTGGAATCATTGTACTTGTGTCAACATGGGCAATATTCTTAATCTCGGTGAATTCGTTCTTCGAGATCTGGAGATTCATCATTGCACCGTTGAAGTATTATTCTGAGACCAAAGACTTATACATGTACCTCAAGAATGGTTTTTTGATTGTGGATTACTATGTTGTCAGCTTGTGGTGCCTATATGTTGTTTTCTGGTGGTGGGCTTTACTTTCATGGATAGGCCTCAAGTTGTTCAGGCAATCTAAAGGATTGCAGACATAGCTTCAGGCACCATCTTCGCCACGAGCTTTTGTCCACAGGGCATCGCCCGTCTGTCTTCCTTTTGGAATGCTAGATTTTTCCACGCGGGCGTGTGAGACTTCCTTAAGGGATGCAATTTCTTTGTTGTGGACTAGAATGAGTTGTTCGTATAACTGATCATACTTTTCGTTATCATCTCCGTCATCAGGGCTCTCGTGCCAGAACATAATCATGAGACGAGCATTGATCCGTTTTATGTATTTCAGAATCATTGCCTCGTTTGAGACGACATCATGCTTCGGTATGCGCTTTGCTTCGTCAGTGATATACTTGTCGCTGAGATCAATGATGTACGTATCGCCAACTCCGATGACATAGCTCATTTTCTTACCCCAGTTGGCACAGTATAGCGAAGGCTCATCAAATACATTCTCGCATGGGTCAAGGTGAACCCACCTTTTTTGCTTTTTACTGTAGTACTCGCACCAGACATGGTCTTCCATGTTCCAGATGTACCTGAGCTGAGCCTCTGGCCCAAGCACTGACTGCAAAACGAGCATGAAGCAATTAACCCATTCGCCGCAGCGCCCTCGTCTCGTTTCCAAAAGCTTGGCTGGACTATTGATTCTTGGAAACTCGACCCTTGTTCCGCATGACTTGCACTTATACTGCTCGATTAGACTGATCTCGTCTGGATTCACGATTGGTGGACCTGCCACTCCAATTGACTCGACTTTGTCCCCTTCTGCACCACAGTTGTTGCAGTCTGGTTGATTGACCCATTTGAAGAAATCGATCTTGAAAAAGGCAAGGGTTTCTTGTACAAGAAGGTCCTCATAGCCCCACGCTTCGTCTGGTTGGGACTGTTCTCGCAGATCTAGCCTCTCGAATATTATTCCCAAATCCACGGCATCTAAAGCCTTTTCAGCGTTTATGGGGTTTTTATATACAGCCATTCTATGAACCAACGAGTTAATTGTGTTTGCAAGCCGAGCATCTCGTTTATCTCGCAACCTAAGCGAAGGCAGTTTGTCGAGCTTCATTGCATCTTCAAGAACACATTTTGCGTAGCAAGAGATGAGTTTCTTACCCAAATTGCTCCAGTCCGATTCGACCCCCATGCTGAGTAGTAGACAACGATATAATCAAGCAGACAAAGAAATCTCGGACTTACTTCATAGTGTTTTATGAGGCAAAAAGATAACGACAACTGCAGGATAAGACCTGCGCAGGGCGAGTCCATGAAGCATACGGGAGTGAACCTACAGTAAATAATCGGAAGCAAGTTTCGATTGATTTTTCTGAAAATCTTTGGCTTGAAACTTAAAAATTAAGAATAATGAGCTTTCTACGTTTAAAGAACCAAGGCGACGATCTGGTCGCACCATAAAAGTGGTGGAGTTATAGTGGCCTACACTTTCTCAGATCTGCACAAACTCTCGAAGATTGAACGAGCTTCAGAAGATACACCAACCATGGCAAAACATTCTGCCAAAAAGAAGAAAGCAGCTCCCCCAAAGAAGCAGATCGTCGAGGTAGATGACGATGTCTCCTCATACAAGCAGAATCCTTATCTTAAGACCCCCTTGTATGATCTTTTGCATGTTTTCGAGAGAGCGCCCGACCAGTGGGCTGCCCGATACATTTTGATCTTGAGTGCCATTTTGCTCAGAAGTGCGGTAGGCCTAGGGCCCTGGTCTGGAAAGGGCGAAGAACCTATCAATGGCGACTTTGAAGCCCAAAGGCATTGGATGGAAATCACAATTCATCTCCCGATCAACCAATGGTACTTCTACGACTTGCAATATTGGGGTCTCGACTATCCACCACTCACCGCTTACCACCTGTGGCTCTGCGGTATATTTGGTAATCTAATTGACAGCAGCTGGTTTCAGCTTGACAAGTCCAGAGGTATCGAAACACCAGCGATCAAGACCTATATGAGATATACCAGCTTGGCAAGTGAGCTCATTGTGCTTTTCCCTGCCATTCTTCAATTGGTGTCATTGCTTGGTGGAAAGAAACTTAAACTTGGAAGAATGCATCAAATCGTCATAATTGCGTTGATTGTCACCCAGCCACCATTGATTTTGATTGATCACGGTCACTTTCAGTTCAACTCCATTATGCTTGGCTTCTTTTTGTTTTCCGTTTCAGAACTCCTCAAAGACAATCTCATGATGGCGTCAGTCTGGTTTATTGCCTCCATCATGTTCAAGCAAATGTCACTTTATTACAGTCCCTTCATCTTCTTTTACATTTTGTCCAAGTTGTTCAAGCCGCAACAGAAACTCGTCAAAACCATAGCCACCTTTGACATTCCTAAACTCATCGCAGTTGGAGCAACAGTGGTGGTTTCAATCATCGCCGTACTTACACCATTCCTCGTGGCGGCTCAAGATGTCACCGAGTTAGAAAAGCTCATCAGACAAATCGTGCTCAGAATGTTTCCATTCGAGCGTGGATTATTCGAAGACAAAGTTGCTAACTTCTGGTGCGTTACAAACATTATCTTCAAATACAGAGAGTACTTCAGCCCAGAGCAACTCAAGATTCTCTCTCTTGGGCTAACACTCTTGTCAATACTCCCACCCTGTTTGATTGCATTCTGGAAAAACATCACTCGCAAAACAACCCCACCAACTTTGTTGATCTATGGCTTCAGTGCTACTGCTTGGGGCTTCTACCTCTTTTCGTTCCAAGTGCACGAGAAGACAGTCTTGGTGCCATTGATTCCATCCACTTTCTTATTACTTCTGACTGATCCAAACATGGTTGGAGTCGTTCAGTGGATCAATAACATCTCAAGTTTTAGCTTGTACCCGCTTCTCAAGAAGGACGGCTTAGTCTTGCAATATGTGACACTAACTCTTCTTGTGAACTGGTTCGTCGGAGGTTTCAGTATTCCAAGCAGAAGCTTGTTATGGCCTGAACTGCTGCTGATCATCACCAAGCTTGTTATTCTTGCGTCATATGCGGCTGCCATCATTTACCACATTGTCGATTACTTCTTTGCACCACCTGCAAGCCTTCCAGATTTGTGGGTCATCTTGAATTGTGTTATCTCATTTGGTTGTTTCTCGTTCTTTTATTTGTGGTTGAACTACAGCCTAGTGAAGCTTTAGATTAACGACATACGGGTAATATGGCATTGGCCTTCAATTGCTTCTCCGAAGAGAATATCCCCCAATGACGATCCCAAGATGCTTTTCCTGGCAATCTGGACCTCCACTCCTCGTCGAAGGCCTCAAAATAGTACCACTCATATTTGCCTCGAATGTGAGGAGCAGCCTGACAGAGCCACGACTTTAGAAATCGGTTATATCTTCTTGGGTTCGCCTTGGCGGCCCCATTACGTCCACCATTATAAGGCCACCCGAGCTCAGATATGACGATCTGGGTGCTAGGCGGTACAAGCGGGCGGACCTTCTGCTCCATAAGCTCCAATATCCAATCTGCTGCCAAATGTACGGGTACCCTGTCATGAAATGGAGTAGTATTGACGCCGATGATGTCACATTCTTGCGCTAATGTTGAAGTAATGGCGCTCCCATGTTCGCTTGTTCCGACTGGGATCTTCTTTCCAATGGTTGCCATATGGTGCTTCAAACTCTTAATAAGATTAATATGATCTTCCTCCGGTATGTCGTTTCTGTAACGCACCTCATTGCCAACAAAAATACTTTTGATGAGTTCTTCTGGAAACTCTTCGACAATGCGAAGTGTGTTTTCCATCTCTAACATATTTTGCAGTTGGTTGGGGCCAATCCAAACTCCAACAGAAACGGTCAATTGAACTTTCGTTCTTTGGATGGCCTCGAGAAGGTACCTTGCCTGATTGCACCTCGTGCTGTAGGTTCGGATTTTTGACGTGATTCTTGAGAGAAGAAGCACGTCTTGGTTTGCTTCTTCTTGTGAGAAGCTGCAATCTCGAACGCCCAAAGGCGAGTACACGATACCATCGAACTTTGGGGCAACAAGATCGTTCGAAGACCGTGGTGTCTCAAGGTCGTACGTATTTGCCAAATCTCCAAAGAGACTCACACGAGCTTCCGGCTCAGCGTTCTTGAAGTAGTTGGCAGTCGAAAACGCACTTCCATTAATGGCGAACATAGTAGCTGGGATGAGGCACCCTGCGGCGAGGAAAAGTAAGATCCAGGCCACAATTTGGGAGACGCTGTAATTTCTGTTCTTCAACAGTTTTTCTTCCAATGGATCTTCGCTAAAATCGCCGGCGTACTTGTTGGAAGATGGATTATGGATCGCATCGGACTGGTTCAACTGATTGCCGCATGGGGAGTCATAACTAGTTGGTGAGATCTCGTGCAATGGCTTGAATACCACCGTGTTGGAAGACAGCTGCGCTTGGAGATCACTCCATTGGTTGCATTGTCTACTTTGAGCCGCTCCTGCTTCAGCATTTGACACAAACCCAGGCTTTGGGATCACTGGATTCGAATCTGTGTTGCAGACATTGACCGAGTATGGCAGAGAGGATGTTTTGAGAGTGGCATTGAAACCCGGCGACAGATTGACAAATCCGTTGTTTTGGAGAACTTGTTCGCTCCTCATTTGTTGAAGAGCTAGATCTCTCAATTCATGGTCAGTTGACGGAGTAGGATCGTGGATTCCGGTATGAGTGTTGAAGTGATTTGCGTTCGGAGAAGTATCGACTACTGAAGGTGGCGGTCGCTCAGGAGGCAGCGAAACGCCACGAAAGCGAGCTCTGGTCAGATTCGGCGACATGAGCGGATGAGAAAGAGTATTTGTGAAGTGGGTGTAGATAATGGTTGCAAAAAATTGAGAGATCGCTAAGCGGATGCCCCGGTGCAGGCGCAAACAATAGCCGGATCGTGGGCCCCCCGTAAAGATCTGTGGAACAATCGAAAGAATATATAAATGTATTTTCAGAGGTATTATGTAACCAGGGGCCAGCGATGGGGATCTGCGTTCTAAAAAATGCTGTGTTGCAGAGCCGGATTTGCGGACCCCTTGAGCGTGGATCGAAGTGAAACTGTAGATCTGCGAATGCCAGATAGCATTAGCATTTGCAGAAACCGACCATGATATTTCCAAAAAATGCAGCGGTGGAACTCAAGCAGCCTTCGCCTGTGGATGGGCAGCATGCGTCGCATGCACCGAAACAGATGCAATAGTCCTGGCAGAATTCCGTGCATTCGTTCGTTTCTCTGTGATAACCAGACCACGTTTCGGAGACAGTTTGCATGGAGACTCTTGCGTCAGTACTCATGGGAGAGTTGGGTTGGGGCTCGGAGTCGATGACCTTGTCGTCATAATGGTCTCTGGAGGCCAGAGGCTCGTCGTTGTTCAGAAACGCCAAAGGTTTCTGGTCCGGGTCGGAATCAGTGGAGTGGCTTGACATGATTCTGGCGCAGCTGTTGGGAAGAAGGCCACGGGCGGGCACCGGGGATCAAGGCAGAAACAGCGAAAGAAAAGTAGCACAAGGAACTGTCGGTACTTGATTCAGGCAAAAATTTAGCGTTGGTGCGCGCATATATAGTGGGATCAAGTCTCCTAGCAAGGTTACCCGTTCGCGATGAACTAAAAAAAGAGCCGTTTGCGCCAGTCTACAATGCTGGCGGGGATGGACCTCTTCGACAAGAAATTGGAGCTTCTCCAGCTCTACTACCCCGGCTACTCCGCGTCTGTGCTCAGCGAAATCTTGCGTGGTTGCCATGGAGACGTTGCCCAGGCCAGAAAGCTCATTGATGGGCCTGCAAAGCTGAAGGCTCCAGTGCAGCGCACCCTTCCGGTGAAACGCAAGGCCGAGCCTTTAGCCCCAGACGCCCAGAAGCGCACCGCACAGGGCCCCTTCCACAGAACAATCACCCTCAACACGCCTGACGATGTCAACGAGCACTTGGGTTGCTATGCGCTGCTTCATCTCAATTTTTTCCCTCAGGAGCTTGCAGACGGCTTGCTACACGAGCTTGTCTCGTCTAAAAACAAGTTCCATTCTAGGCAATTTTATCTTTTTGGCAATTTATGTCAGCTGAACATGATGGTGGCTCCGTTTGCAGCCCGCGACAACGACTGCCCTGCCTTGGTGTACAATGGGCTCGCGGTAGGAGGCTCTGCTGGGCCTCATGAGTACACACACCGCTTCGATCTGGCTGCGAAACGCTTGGAAACCTGGATGAATGAGACGGTGATCCCCGGATCGAAACGGCTTCCTTTTCAGCGGAAAGATCGCTGGAAAGCCGGCTTTTGCGTGGTAAACATGTACGAGAAATTGAACAATCACTTGGACTGGCATCTGGACAGACTTTCCAGCATCGGTCCGCATAACTTCATAGCATCGGTGCTGCTTGGGCTGACGCGAGTTTTTAAGCTTCGATCGACCCACAACACCGGACCGGTTTACCTGGTACCGCTTCCGCATAACAGTGTTTTCCTCATGCGGCCAGGGTGCCAGGAGGAATATAAACACACTTTGGGACCTATGGCGAAGCTGGTGCTGTTACATCCCGATGTCGGCTCGCTACGCATTAGTCTCACGTTTCGGCACTACCCCGCCGATTTCATTCGGAATTTACCAAAGTGCCGGTGCGACATTCCAATGATGCTACGGCGGGCTTTCAAGAGCAAGGAGACGAGAGGAACGTACTTTTGGCTGTGTGAAAACGTGTATCAGAATAAGGATTGTGGGGCTTTTGAATGGGCGGATTTTGATAATTGGGATGGACATTTTATAGCCACTTCTCAGGAAGTAGCATCTCGGTGGCTAGCGCCTGAATGAATTGACGATTTGGAAAAAAAGTAGAAACTGTCAAAATTGGCTGCAATTTGCAAAAAGATAGCTGCCACAATGGCTGCGATATGGAAAAAATAACGACAACTGCAGGACTCGAACCTGCGCGGGCAAAGCCCAAAAGATTTCTAATCTTTCTCCTTAACCACTCGGACAAGTTGCCTTGATGTAAGTGGTAGGCACTTAGGTAAAATATGAAGCGTTTTGACAAAGTCGAATTTGTTGAATGTTGTTGAGAATTTAAGAGTAGGTTTAGGTAAAACGTTTTGATGCTATGGGCCGGCCTGGGCTCTCAGAACCCCGGAATGCCCAAGTTACAGCATTTCTTTGCAACCAGTGGACCAATTATAATACAACCATTGCTGGCCACTTTTTTATAAAAACATCCATCACTCTACTGAATTTTAGATGATTTCATCTCCTGGTGTAGGATATATCCATGCTTCAAGTCAGGGTAAGCTGTCAGCTGCAGTGCGAAGCATACTATCAACCCTAATCTCAACCACACCTACAACTCATGAGTGTATACCACTGCCTGAAATGTCAAACGCCATTGCGGCTAGACGACTCACTCAAAAAGCTATCGAAGGTTCAAAAAGATCTAATCATAAAGAAAGCAACGCAAACCCCGAAAGTCCCCTTGGCATCACCCTCCAAGTACATTCCCCATGATAGACTCCAATTGCTAGAGGAAGCGCTAAGCAGCACTAGCGATGCTGCAATCTATAAGAATGGAAGTAACTTGGTGCAAGAAAAGCCACTGTCGTACGACTCCAAGCATTCGTATGTCTACGTTTCTGATCACGAGGATGAACCTGAGGAGAGTGACAGACAAGGATCCAAAAGCCCTGACCACGAGGAACAGCTTCCTGATTTCTCAAGAATCAAGTCACTAGGACTAGTGTTTGACATATTGTCGCAAAACCAAGATGTTTCTCACCCAATGAGCTCAGAGTGTGCTCAGCTACTTATCAATAACTACAAATTCAAGTTTGATCAAAGCCAACGCGAGAAGGAGTACTACATTTCGTTTTTGAAGAAACTAAGGGAGAGGGAGAATAACTTTTCAGCAACTGCAGAGGCTGAGACAGACACAAAATTGGCGGAAACAGCCCAGGAGTTACTCCTGCTTCATGATCTAGAACGTAACAAGCTCGAGGAACTCGAGGAGTTGGAGAAGACGTACGAGGATTTGCAAAGTCAGCTAAGTGAACTAGATGAACAGCTTGAACAACTCAATTCAGAGAGCCTCAATGACGTACTCCGACTCAAAAACACACTTACAATGGATCTCTCGCAGAAGCAGAGCCACCTCGACCATTCCAAAGCATTGTACCAGAAGCAGCTAGACCACCTAGACTCCCTACGCACGATAAATATCTTCAATCGCTTATTCCAAATTCTGTTTGACGGGAGCGAACCCTGCGGCAGAATAAATGGGTTCCGGCTCGGTCACAAGATGCCCTGGCCAGAGATCAACGCTGCACTTGGCCAAATTGCTCACCTTCTCAAATTCCTCATGACAAGGTTGAAGGTTGATGTCGATGGTTACAAGCTAGTGGCTATGGGCTCGAAATCGTACCTCGTGAAGACGTCAAGACATGCCCCCGAAGAAGGCCGCAGCCAGAATTCACCCGTTCTACAGCTACACTCGACCAATGAGTTTACTCTTGGCAAGCTCTTTAACTTCAACAAACTCGATGTGTCGATGATCGCTTTGCTAGACATTGCAAGCCAGCTTGAGGCGAAGATCACCGAGTATGATGAGGAGTTTGAGCTCCCGTACCCAATTGCACCAAACCACGACAAGATCGGAGGGAAAAGTATCCGTGTCACGCTGAACAACCGCTGGACGGAGGCGTGCCGGTTCTTTTTGACGGACTTGTCGTGGATGCTCACCTTTGCCAGCGCAAGAGGCGACACGTCTACATAGAAATCGCGATTTGCAGCCACCCTTCATTTTCGAACCACCACCCTTTTTCTCTCATGAATGACCCCTGGCGTTTCCTGCCATGTAACTACGACACCTCTGAACTCTCCGACCTATGCAACCACTTTATGGGCAACACGCTCCCAAGCACCCCTCGCAAGGTGACTCCTCAGTTGGTTGTTCTCCCCTCTACTCAGCCCAAGACAGCAGACCTGTCTTGCGAGACACTCAACCATCTGATTGGACAAGTTCCCCCTCTGCTGCCGTACCAGGTGGCTTCTATTCCAATCCAGTCACATCTGGAAATCTCTATACCCAAAGTTGCAAATCTCGAGGACGTGCCTTCTGGGTTTCAGAATCGGGAACGCATACAAGACGCCGGTGCAGTGCAAGAAAAGGGGCCAATCAGAAAGAGAAAAGTCAAGGAGCCTAAGCCATATATTCCTCCCGAGAGGGTGTCTCAGCGAAAAAAGAGTACCCAAGCGCTCGACAAGTGTGGACTGACAAGGGTCTGCGAGGGCAATGCAGGTACCCAACGGCCCGGGAGGACAACGCTTTCGCCCATAAAGCCCAGCAGTATGAATATTCACAAGTGCCAAGATGCCAGCGCTAAATATATTCTCAAGCACCTCAAAAAGTATAAAATGGCGCCTGCCGATCCGCCCGAGGCGGCGCTGCCCTTTTGGCATCCGGTTGCAAAAAACACCAACCATACATCGGGTGATAGACCGCACAGCAGCACGGGATGCAAGCTTCCGAAGGAAAACCAAAACACCAGTTCGAGAAGCTACTACGGCTGCTGGACATGCCGGGTTCGCCACACGCTGTGTCCGGCGGATGGTGTTCCGTGTCTGACATGCCGTCGTTATGGTTACGAGTGTGACATGGCGCCGAGTCGCCCAGCCTACATCAAGGATGTCAAAAAAAAGAGCCAGCGCATTCGCTATCTTCAGGAAACGCGGCAGCGGTGAGCACTCGCTGTTTTCCTGGCTCTAGCTGGTACTGCCCTCCGTACTGCATGAAAAAATACCCTCTACACTCGCTCTCAACACGATCGATCCAGGGCGACCCTTCTTCCAACCCAGCCTACTCCGAGCTTTTCCTGCTGCTTCTTCTGCCTTTGCCATGAGATCGCACCTTTGGTCTATTCTTGTCGCCGCCTTCATGGTGGCGTGTGCTCAGGCATTCTACTTGCCGGGTGTGGCCCCGACCAACTACGCAGAGGGCGACCGCATCGAGTTGTTCGTAAACCACTTGACTCCGGCCATGACCCACTTGACCTCCACGGGCCAACGGGAAAAGACGAAAACCCAAATCTACTCCTATGATTACTACTATCCAAAGTTCAAGTTCTGCCAGCCTCCAGGTGGTCCCAAGAAGCAGCTGGAGTCCTTGGGTGCCATTCTTTTCGGCGACAGAATCTTCAATTCGCCGTTCGACATCCTGATGTTGAAGAAAGAGGAGTGCAAGGTCTTGTGTAATGCAAAGTACTCCAAGACCGACGCTGCTTTCGTCAGCAGGAACATCCGTGCGGGTTACAACTACAACTGGATCATAGACGGATTGCCTGCTGCCCGTAAAGCAAAGGACATCCGTACCAGCACAGACTTCTACACCTCCGGCTTCCCAATTGGCCTGGTGGATGAAAGCAACAAGTCCGAGTTGTACAACCACTTCAAGATCAACATTGAATACCACAAGAGAGCTGAGGGCCAGTACAGGGTAGTCGGCGTGACCGTCGTGCCACACTCCTTGGACAGAAGTAAGCTTGATTCCTCGAAAGCTTCTGGTGAAGAACTATGTAACCTCAAATTGGCTCCGGTGATGGTTTCCAAGGACAGCGAGAAGACCGTGTTGTACACGTACTCCGTTGAATTCTTTGAGTCCACGACCTCTTGGGCTACCAGATGGGATAAGTATTTGCACATCTATGATCCAAAGATTCAATGGGTGTCTTTGATCAACTTTTCCTTGGTTGTGATCATATTGAGTGTGATCATGGCTCACATCTTGGTCACTACCTTGAAGAACGACATTGTCAAGTACAATGACGTGAACTTGGATGACGATGTTGCTCACGACAGTGGCTGGAAGTTGGTGTACGGTGATGTTTTCAGATCTCCTCCAAACAGAATGCTCTTGTCCGTGTTAGTTGGAAGTGGTGCTCAGTTGTTCTGCATGACATTGGTAACAATCGTTTTTGCACTCTTCGGTTTGTTGTCTCCTTCCAACAGAGGTTCCTTGTCGACATTCATGTTCATTCTTTTCATCTTTTTCAGCATCATTTCTTCCTACGTGAGTGGTTACCTCTACAGGTTCTTTGGTGGTGAGAACTGGAAGGTGAACATGTTGATGACCCCAACCCTTGTCCCTGGTATTTTGTTTGGATTCATCGTGTTTTTGAACTTCTTCCTCATAAACGCTGGCTCGTCAGGCGCAATCCCTGCTGGAACCATGCTCGCTATGGTGGTTATCTGGTTTGCGATCTCATTCCCATTGTCCGTGGTGGGATCTATCCTTCAATCCAAGAGACCCACTCTTCTGGTGCCCGTTCGTACCAACCAAATTCCAAGACAAGTTCCACAACAACCATGGTACTTGAAGACTGTTCCAGGCATGATCATGTCCGGTCTTTTCCCATTCGGATCAATTGCTGTTGAATTTTACTTCATCTTCTCAAGCATTTGGTTCAACATGATTTTCTACATGTTTGGATTCTTGTTTTTCTGCTTCATCTTGATGATTTTGACAACAGGTCTCATTACATTATTGTTTGTTTACTACACATTGTGCAGCGAAAACTACAAGTGGCAATGGAAGGCTTTGTTCATTGGTGGTGGATGCTCCATCTACGTTTTCCTCCACTCCTTGTTTTTCGTCAAGGGAGCATTGAAAGACTTCACCTCCATGGTTTTGTACCTTGGCTACACCGCAGTCATGTCTATCTTGGTTTTCTTGGTGTGTGGCTCTGTCGGATTTATTTGTGCGTTATTCTTCATTAGAAGAATCTACTCGCAGATTAAGATTGATTAATTGTCAGTCAGTTGTACTAAGATTACACAAATGGGCAATAAACTAGCATACATTTAGCTTTGACTTATTCATGTAAAAAGAATGAAACTATGCAAGATATGTAGATCAGAACCAACCATCCAAATCTTCCCTGAGAATGAAGGAAGAGATTGTCTCGGACACTTCACGTCTCCAAGCACCAAAGTTTCCAGCTTTGGAATTTGACGAGTCTGCTGTTGGTGGACCAGGAACATTGTTGAATTGAAGATTATGATGATCAATCTTGCTAAGGATAAGTGTTATCGAAGTCAGGCCCAATCCACTGACATTGAGTGGTTCAGTAGACGAGGAGGGACTCAAACTATTGAACTTGTTGGAATTGCTCAAAGTATTTCTGGCGTTTGTGATAGCATTAAGGTTATTGTTCACATTACTCACCAACAAGTTGTATGCGATTGAGAGGTCACTCATGATTTTCACAGACCTTGTGTAAAGTTCACTGTCAGTAGCGTATCTCATCAACGGATCAACGAGAAGTTTGCAAGCTTTTATGAGCTTGAAAGATTGACCATAACTGAGGTTAAAAAAGGGACCAATAAGATCTGCAGCACTGGACATTGACTTGTTGTTCGAATAAATCGTAGAAATGTAGTTGTCAAAGTTTAAAAGTGATTGAGTGAGCTTTTTGAGAAGACGACTGATCTTGAGTTGGAAGTCGTAAAGTGTCTCATGTATACTATCGTCCCCGTGGTTGGGGCCAGCCGCCGGCGGATGGGTCTCAAAAAATCTCATCACTTCTAGTAAATTATCGTAAAGCTCGTATTTGTCCTTAATTAAGGACACAAAAAGGGAGGCAAAATTTGGCACCATTGAATTTGTTGGATTCGTTGGTGAAGTCTTCACAGACCATGACTCCTTATATCTAGGTTTGGGGATGGTGGATAAAACCGACTCGGCTCTCAGGCTCACCAAATCATTGATCACCACAGAGGCTTGCACATTATAATAGAATGGCAGCTGAGTAAGCTCTTTTGGCATCAACATAGCTATGTTTTGCATAAACAATCCATAGTTGTTTGGAAGTGTCAGCAGAGAGCCGAAACTGAGGCTGTAAGTGTTATCAATCATGTACAAACACATGTAGAGTCTGGGCAAATACAACTGAACATCATCTGGGTTAAGACGAGAGCTGTTGGGATCCCTCACGAGAGAGGCAAAGTTCTCGAGGAGTTTGAAATCATTGAAAACTGAAGCTGTCATTGCAATACCCAAGGAATAGACATCACCATTGATTAGAATAGTGTAATTGACCAGCACCAATGTTGAGAAAAACACAATGAGAAGATCATCGTTCACCAAAATACCATTGTGGTTGAATGGGTAGATCGACATTATATTTCTGAGTAATGCAATCAGACTGCTTAATGGAACATGTTGGTAATATATCAAGTTGTTGAGGGCAGTGTTGAAGAGTTCGACAACCATGGATGTGTGAGTGGATGGATCATTAAGCAAAGAATGCGTTATTCTGACAATGAGCTGTTGGGAGAACGGAAGAACGGAAAAATTTGCGTGGTACTTGGTGTAGTACAAGTTGATGTTGTGCTCCAAGGAATGGAAGGGTAAATTGGACTGCACTTCTGCGTGTCCGTGGTGCCCATTATTGCTTAAATGAAATGGAGGAGATCCTGAATTTGTGTGTTGTAAAGGTGGTGGGTGGTTGGGGTGGCTGCTGTTGAGGTCAAGCAGTCTATTCAACTTGCCATTCAACGACAGCATTGAGGAAACAGAATTCCTGGGTGATAGACTGGCAGAGTAAGCTCTTGATCTTGAGGAATAATAGTCATCATCAGAGTCCGAAATTGCCATATCCGAATTACCCGTTGATTTAAGCGAGGCGAACCTAGATCTGGAGCCAGCCGTCAGGATTGAGCTGATGGAGTCAACGGAAGATCGCCGCAGGTTGGATGCCAGACCGTTTCGCAGGTTGGTGGAGGAATTATCCAGGCCGTGGGAGTTAGCATTTGGCATTTCATATGGAACCGTCCACAAGGGCCCTCTTATCTTCTGGTCCTTCGACTCCAAGGGGGCACTGCCATGGGGGCTTAGTGGAACTGAATTTCCAGAAGGCACCTTTTGCACCGGTACTGAAAGTTTGACCGGTTGCTTGGAGGGCTGTGGACCGAGGAGTAGCGGGAGAATGATGGGCGAAGATGAGGAGTTTCCGTTGGAAAATGTCAGGCGGTGCAAAAGCGGCTTTGTGGGGACCAGCAGGGTCGACGACACGGAGGAGACGGATCCTGAGCGTTGTTCGGAATTGGGAGGCGAGCCTGTTGGGATTGTAGGAGCTATGGACTCGGGCCTGGAAGTATCAACGGATTTCAGTCGAGGTCTTCCCTCGAGTTTCAACACTGAGGTATGGTGTGTGTTGGGGTAACCCGAGGACTGGTCGTCCATTTTGTCAACCAAATCCCGAATGTAGCCCTTGGAGGGCCCACGTTTCAAAGGAACTCTGGAGAAAGTACATGTGTCAGCGTTTTTCACACAATTGGTGCATATTTTCGTCACTTTCTGGAGCGTTTGCAGAAACTCGGCATCACAACGGATTTTCTTACGTCGACAAGCGTCGCAAGCCCTCGAGACCTTGGATCGCTTGCGAGGGAGGGAATCTTTTATGGATCTTTCTTCGTCACTCATGAGCAGTTGGCGAGGTTTGAGGGGGGGGTAGGCAGACCAATAAGACGGCTGGAAATATGAAAAGTTAATCTGTGGGCGGGATGTGTGGAGAGTGGTTTAGCGATTCAAGAGCCCCGGTGACGACAACAAAGTGGTTGTCTTTCCAAGAATGCCGACTCAATAAGAAAATATGGGGTAGTCTGAGAAGAAAAGCGAGAGGAATTGGACGGATTTACATTTTCTCCGTTAGCGTGCACGGTGCAGGCTAGGGTTCGTAAATTATGGGGAGGGTGGAGTGGTGTAGCGCGGGGACTGCCAAGTTTCTGCAGTGCCCATGGTTAACCGATTCAGATTTAGAGTGCCAGGGTAGCCGTTATTGAGCTTGTTTTTGTATCCTTAGTTGCCGACAAGATCTAGTCATGAAATCAAATTCCAAACTAGATCAGCAAGCTATTGTGTCCAGCGGCGGCGCACCGGGACTCGAGGATCGTAGCGAGAATGCCTTGTCACGTGATCACCTTGTTTCTCCGGGGAAACTGCCCCGGGGCAGGTTCCATCGGAAGTTTTTCCTGGGTGGGACAGCTGCCGCGCCAAAACCGACTGAAGGACCTGGAAGAGGCGGAACCGTCCGCAAAAGGAAAGGCGATTCGGAAAAACTCACCCGCCTCAAAATGCAATTGCCTTTCGAGCCGCTTGCTCATTAAGGCATTTTTTCGCTGACGCCGAATCGCTCGCAAGGCGCACTGAGAATTTTGTTAGTGGTGCCGGAAAAATCAGCCGGCCCATGGTGCGGCCCTACCCCATACTTTGCGACGGCTTTTTTTGGTGGGGGTGCCAGTGAGGGTTACATTTTTCCGGGACTACAGCATCTGGGGCTCATGCTGGTCACGCACTGGAACCACGGCAAACACAAGATGGCAATAAACATGGCTTTTTGCGAGGGCTTGGTGATTTTTCTGGAGCAAAACGGCAAATCTCGGCACCTCTCACTCCGGCGAGCCAATAGGGGTCCGGACAAATGGGAGCATGGCCCCAGTAGCCCTCTTTTTTTTTTTTTTTTTTCTCCGGGTATGAGCCTCACCCCATTTAACCGCTTCCGCATCCGTTTGACGCCAGCGGCTTAGTTGCCCCCCACCTCTCAAGGTGACAAAATGTAACACTGCTGTCATAAGATTGCTGCTGGCAGGAATTGGCGATTTGCTGGAAGAATTATCGCAAGGTGGGCAAGCCGCCCGCGTCTGAGCGCAGGATGTAGCCTTCACTTCGGAACAACCAGATCTGGGTTCCAGAGCGGGTGGTTTGGATTTATCTTCACGTTATTTTTGCCAAGAGGACGGAAAAGTTGATGGCCCGCTGTGAGGAAGGCCATTTCTGCTTTGGTAGCGTGATTCCACCTGGCCCGGAATTGCTCGGAAATCAAGCTGAAATCGAGACGCTTCGGACGCAATCGAGACGCTTCAGACGCAATCGAGCTGTTTCAGTCGCAGGGTAAAAACCGTCGGAATATCCACCTCTGCAGCCGATGGGAACCTCTCCATATGGCGCAACATGCGCCGTAACGGGAAATCCTTCCGCTACCGACACTGTATTTCCGAATTTCACTCTGGAGTTCATGACATATCTGCGGAAGCATCCCTGCTTATCGTAAGATGAAACTGAAGCTGCCCAATACCAAGAAAGTTAATTACTTACTTGACGAGGCTGGCGGAGTTCATCGAAGGTTGAATGATCCGACACTACTAGCATACACCTCTAGTGCAGGCCACCTAAGCCCTCTACGTGGATACCCTGCAACAATCCAACACCTCCATAAAACTTCACCCTCTTAGTATTTTCAAGGTCGAGAAACCATTCATGGGTCCCTTCGGCTGACGTCCTTCATCTTCGCAAGATCAATGACACTTTTCGGCTATGCGCACTCTACATCGATTATCTACGTTGATCTCTACCAACATACATGGTCCAGCTGCCGAGGTATAAGAGCTTGATTGTACCAATCGTCATAGTGATATGTCTCGCCTACTACAACTACGCTTCGGGCTACGTCGTCGCTTATAAGGAAATATACCAGCATCGCTCTAAAGCTGGCGCAATCGTCATATGGGTCTTTGAGGGCCTACTACAGATCGAGTTGTTTGTGACCTGGCTTGTCATACTAATACGTGGTCCAGGACGCACCCCAAAAATACCCCTTTTCGACATTTACGGCACCAAAGATCCAGAACTTCTGGCAGTGCCTGACATATTCATATGTGACGAGAATGGATACCCATATTGGTGCTCAGTGTGCCACTCTGTCAAGCCTAAACGCTCATTTCATATCAAGGGCCTTGACCGTTGTGTGCCTCGTTTCGATCATAAGTGCATCTGGATCGGCACAAGCGTCGGAAGGGACAACCTTGTGCTTTTCATTCAATTCTTACTTCAGTTCGGGAGCCTATTTGTTATCGCCCTAGTTTCGGCCGCAGTCACGGCAAGATCCGCCTTCGACAGAGATAATCAAACTATCCCCCATTACGTTGTTATCTTTGTTTGCTCGGTTCTTTGGCTACCGATGATCTTTGGGCTCCTCCTTCAACAGACTGCATTTGCATTTACGAATAGAACCACTATAGATGATATCCACATGAAACAGGCAAGGAAATATAATGAATGGAAGAAAGGCGACGAAAGCTCGTTGCCGGCATGTCTACGGAACCACTACCAGAGAGAGGAAACGGGTATACGTTATGTCAATTACAGAACCAAAAACTCCAGGGTCGTTGTGCCGTTTGCTGTTCTAGATCATCCCTACTCTGAGGGCTTCAAAAGAAACATCACCAGAATCGTCTATGGTGAGAGTGATGAATCACTTTTCTGGTCCGCACTTTTTCATCTCAGCGTTCCAATGGGCCCTTTGTTGGTGAAAAGGCAAATGCCCGATATTGAAACGTATGAGGCAGCATCAGAGCCGTTCAGCAAAAAGTTTATGAATCTTATTCAAGACAAAATTTCAAAGGGTGATTGCACCACTCCACTGTACATTCCAAAAGAGGTTGAGCCTATAGAATCAACCCAAGCATAGGACCACGTTCCATTCCCTAACCAAGTCCATGAATCCGATTTCCTCGCCCTCTGAGCGCCGTTGCCATACTTCAAATAGTATTTGCTTAGATCTCCAGTAATTGTGTTTCCTGAACAAGGAGTGGCTCCAAATGCTTCGGCAGCGCTGCTGCAACTTTGGGTGCTTCTGGATGTCGATATCGCAACCACAGACTAACAATGGCCAAAATGAGGGAGAGAAAAAGAATGGAAGATTGTTTTTTTCCAGCTCCTCTGAGATTTTGAGAAGTCTTTCCATAGATTCGATGCAAGCCTCGATATGCGATTGAGTTGAAGTTAGGGCCGTTCCGGGAATCAACCTTTTGAAATAAACTTTGAGTGCTTGGTAAACTCCCATGACATTATGGTAGAGTCCCTCGTGGAATAAGGAGTAGAAGGACTTTGTAGCTGTGTTCGTGATGGCGTCGTACTCATTATCATAGAGCTTCCAGTAGCTCTCCACATTCCAGTTTAGAATCTTGTCCTCAGTATCGGCGCAAGCTCTAGGATAATTTCTGGGGAAGAACCCCTGCGTCTGAAACACCCTCTTATGGTTTGTGAGCTGGACCACCTCGTGTAGAAGTTGGAGTAATGATTTTGGCAATCCGTATGACACATAGACAGATCTGTCACCAATTTCTGGGCAAATTGGGCTCGAACTTTGGTGCATTGCGCTACGCCTCAAAGGCGGAGGATGATCACTGTTTGCAGGCGGCTTGTGGGTGTCTGACTTTTCGTTGAAATACACCGTGAAGGAGAGAGGATTCTTGTCATCCGATGTACCCGCAGCCGCAACCAGAATATTCTTCGGCCTTTCATTGCCCTCAAGATTGTCGCTTTCTTCACTGGTCGAGTCATACAGTTCGACGTCAGAAAGATCTTTAGACAAGTCGTAGTTCTTGTCTAGATCACGATACCTTTGTTGACGATCTTTTTCAGAGATCTCGTAATTGAATAATGTCACCGCCTGTGTTGAGTTGTAGAATATCTGAAGTATCTCGAAAACACTTCGAAGGTATTTGTCAAGGGTGGTTAATTTTCGTTCAACTTTTCTGAGTCTGCTCTTCACCAAAAAGTCGCCAATAGCAAAGATGAGTTCATAGTTCTCGTAGACACCAAAAAGATCATCAAGATTGATCTGAAGAAGAAGCGCTAGCAACAAGCAGGTTTCGTAATTGTCAATCTCGGGATACAGCGAATTGTTATCGTATTCATCCAAATGATAGTTCAAAATGTTGATACCCAATTTACGCATTTCGATTGCTGCCTTGAGTTCATCATCCATGAAATACTTCTTCACGTCATTGTTCACATTCTTCTTCTCATACTCCAGGGACCTGCGGAATGCACTTGTTGCCAAACACATAAACATAATACCCAATCGCAAATTCTTAAGAAGTAGTTCCCTCGGGGTCGAAAGGCTATCCTTCCTGATGTAATGCGATCGCCAGTTGTTCGACAATGGGAACTCTTCGCATACAAGTTCGAAGAATATTTGCTTAATGAGAGGAAGGACGTATGTATCCCACTGATTTCTCTCATATATCACTCTTGTAAAGGCCATTGACGAAGCACCTAGCTGCTCCGTTGCTGTGGTGAGTAAGGGCGCTATCTCTACGCCTCCCGGAGTAGCAGAAGATAGACGAAAGTATCTCAACATCACACTCACATTCGGACGCCAATCATCAGGATCGATGTTTGGGAAGAAGTTCGGATACAAAATGTGGAACATGCTTTGCTCCGAGAACTCATATTTTGTACCTTTAATGGCCAAAGTCGTAAGCTTTGCGGAATCCAAAAGGGCATAATGCACGTAGGTATTATCAGTTTTGGAGAAGATGGAGGTTTCTGGCTCGATCTTTTCCAGTTCGAGTCTCTCAGGATCAGCATTTTTGATGAGCTCTTCTATAGACTCAGAGCCGCTGAGTTCCATAGAGTCTGCGCTTTTCCTTCCCTCCTCCAACTCCACAACGGGCGTATCTCTCGGCGTTTTTACTGGAGTGTCTTTCGGCGTCTTGACTGGCAGAATTTGTTGAACTCTTGGGGTTTTTGGAACTGGTGCTACCACTGGAGCACCTTTACCAGAAGCCATAAAAGCACCAAACGGACCGACAAAGAAGCCGGTATCGTTTTCGATCTTTGTCGAAACATCGTCCAATTGCGAAACCACCGCATTGAGTTTTGCGTAGGTCTCATATTGCATCAGACTAGGGAAATAGACGAGGTCAACATTACGTCGCAGCAGGAGTCTTTCCTTCACGACGGATGCCATTTTGTCCTCCTTGGACAGAACTAGCCTGTTCTCCAGGTTAACCACCATCGGAGCTGCCCAGGCCAAAACGATACTGTATCCCTTACATTCAAGTCTAGCTCGTTTGCATCGAAGACACACCGGCCTCGTGCAATCACATTTGATCTTTCGTAGACGACATGTCCAGCATCCGTCGAAGTTTCTTGATCTTTTCTTTACGCCCCGCGATGATCTTGATGGAGCGGGAGCCGCTGGTGCCATTAACTGGCCGCCTTATAAAATAAATGGAAAGGTTCTTTGCTCCTGGCCAAACTATAGAGCTTGATAAAAAAAAAGGGTTGTGTTGAGGGTGTAAATCTGTGGTAAAGCTGTGAAAGTATGAAGTTCAAGGTCCGAGATGCGACAAGATGACGAGCCTCATATTAGCGCGGATTAATGTTTATCCTGTTACACATTGCCTAATTCGACACTCTAATACCTACCCCAGATTAACCAACATTTCCGGCTAAACGCTTCATACCACAAAGTCAATGGTGCAGATGGAGCTTATGGAAGAGTTCGATCCGGCGATTCCGGTCACTCTACCCCACGAGAATGTTTATCTAATTCAGGTTGGCTACAAACTCTTTCGCTTCAGTGGTGCCAGTTTACTGTCAGACTCTCCGTCTTACTTTACAAACTTTTTCACTAATCCACAAAATGCTGAGAAGGTGCTTTACATTGACAGAAATCCCCAGGTATTCCAAAAGATCTTCTCTCATCTACAAGGCTACCACATAGATGTTGATGACGCTCATGAATACGTATACCTATGGCTGGATAGCTACTACTTCGGCTTGCGTCGCCTTCAAAAATTATTAGACAGTGAATTCACCTTCGCTTGTATTGGCAATAAGTCCTTCAAGATCCCAAAACAGTTGTTGGCGAGAACTAACAACTATCCTAATTACTTTCTGATCAACTTCGACAGTCTTCTCTCCGACAACAGAAAGATCATTCAGTCAAAATCAATGATAAGACCCCCTCCTCAGAGACCGCCAATGGCATCAACCAGATCTTCCGACCTTTTTGCGGATCTTTTGGAGGCTCTCAAAGGCAACGATAGTATTGTGAAGGATGATCAACATCGGCAACTTCTTCTTAAAGAATGCCGATACTATCGTTTTCTCGAGTTAGAGCAAAGATTGCTCAAACATGACTTAGTCAACAATCCTTTCACCAAAGAACAGGAGATTATTTTAAATCTTCTTGATCTTCAGCAGCGAGGTGTTTCTAGTCGATCAAAAGGTATTCACGATGAGCATGCCTTGCGGTACACACGCCCATATATGATAAAAGAGAAGGAACGGAGTCTAATAGTGCAGGTGAACCTGGAGGCTGGTTCGACTTGTAAATTGAGTATCAATCGTGATGCTCACCTAATCTCGTTTATCTGCACGGGTAAGTTGGCTAATCAGTTTCATTCTGTGTTTGGCTCTTTTGCCAAAGACCTACTGCTTGCACATCAAATGGAAGTCCACGGGCAGGGGACTGACAAATTCGTGATCTTCTGTGGGCTTTCTAACGCTACAACTAACCTCAATGGACAGGAACTCAAGAATGACTGGTTTTTTGACTGGTTCAAGCATCCAGAGGAACCGCTGCTGAAGAAGAGGAAAGCAAGTGAAGATTGCCATTCAGAAGACGAGTTGGCAGAGGTTCCATTGACAAAGTCACTTTGGAGGGTTCTAGTGAGGGGTGACAGATGCCGGCTCCATGCTGTTTCCCTCGTTGGCTACTCTAATCAAGCAGCTTTCAACAAAAGTATAACCATGCTCTGATGCGTCAGATTCAATCAATATTTCGCAGCCACTCTATCCTGGTTGATGTAGCCGCACCCGTACACCTCCACATCATTGTTCGCTCTCTTGTAGCTGGCACTTCAGTTTATCGTCTTACCCACCGGCAACGTACAACTAATTAATTACATCAAGATGTTAGCGACAACCCTTGCTGCTACATCTATTCTCATTGTTGGAGGCTACTTGGTGTTCCAGGGCCAAGGTGAATCATTCAATGTGGGTGACTTCCTAGAATCGACCTCCCCATACATGTGGGCAAACTTGGGCATTGCCGCTTGCATTGGCTTCTCCGTTGTTGGTGCTGCCTGGGGTATTTTTATCACAGGTGTTTCTATCTTGGGTGCTGGTGTGAAGACTCCAAGAATCACTACGAAGAACTTGATCTCCATTATTTTCTGTGAGGTGGTCGCCATTTACGGTTTGATTATGGCTATCGTCTTTTCTGCAAAAGTGTCAAGTGTTCCTGAAACCTCCTTGTATACTCATGAGAATCTTTACACGGGATATGCATTGTTTTGGGCTGGTATGACTGTTGGTCTCTCGAACTTGTTGTGTGGTATTACAGTTGGTATCACGGGCTCCACTGCTGCGATCTCGGACGCTGCTGATTCATCCTTATTCGTCAAGATTTTGGTCATTGAGATTTTTGGCTCTGTCTTGGGTTTGTTTGGTCTTATCGTGGGCTTGATGATGGCCGGTAAAGCGCCTGAATTCAAGTAAAGGTAAAGAGACGACCTTCACGACCCAACATTTTACTTCATAGACCACTGTCATTCTACTTCAAAAATATACTTTACAGTTTCAAATGTCGTAGGATTTATTTCCTCTCTATACCTCAGGCATCCGCCTCAACAAAATCTGGAGACTTTTTCAAGATGACAATGCCCTCCAATGTGTGGGATAGACTTATCCATTCCTCATTATTCTCCAACTCTGCTCTCTCACCATAACTCAACAAGACTGGGGTTGCCTGCGTGACCCAACCAGTGATTGTCTTCGGCTTACCGGCTTGACCAACAACGTCAACGGCCTGACCAACTCTGACATTAACCTTGATTGGATTCAAGTCCTCGTCAACGGTAACAAGCATTCTTGGTTTGATGGCAGGAGTCAAGTAGTATAACATTTGATGGCTGGTCTCAGTTGTGGAGTCACTTAAGATGAAAGATTTTGGATCTAGCAAAGCAACCGACACTGTCAAAAGAGATGCCAAAGAGACCTTGTTCAAGATACTTCTCTCGGTGTTGAAAGGAGACAAAGTCAAGGTACCCTTACCCAAAGATAATATACCCTGAGCAATTCTCACCATGAAAAGAGAATCTGGGGACTTTGAGTAATATGAAGCCAATTGTCTCAATAATTGAGCCAATCTGGCATTGTTGGTACCAGCACCGACAAGGCCCATGGCATAGATGGCGTTTTGAGTGACCTCCAAATCTGGGTCGTGAGAATAACGTGAAAGAATATCGAAAACCTTCATTTGAGGATAGGATGCTGAGACAAGACCCATAGCCAATGGAACGGACCGGCGAATTAATGGGTTACCATAGTGCATGAGGTGAGAGAAGTGACGCAAGACCATATCCTGGCCAATATCCTCTCCCATGGCAATACATGCAAGACCCAATACAGCGAATCCCTGGAAAAGCTCGTCTTCTTCCTCGTCATCGTCCTCCTCCGTTGTCAAATCAGCCTTGTCCTTCACGTCTTCCGGCTTCTCCGTTTTGACCTCGGTAGCATCTGCCATCTCAACATCACCCGAGGCATCCTGAGAACCAGGCTCAGCTGCTGTGGTGGGAGAGTCAGTGGCACTTGCCTCCGTTGGAAGCTCTGTTTTGCCCTCTCTCTTCAATTGATCCTCCTCGCTCTCTCCCAACTTCTTCTCCTCCTCCAAGGTATCCTTGGGGCGAGCGAAGCACATTTGCAAGAGGGATTGAATTTGCAACACGTTACCTGTTCCGGCGTAAGCACAAACATTAACCAACACCTTCAACGTCTTATTGATGGGATGCTCGATAGCATCAATGATGTCCAAGACATCTTCAGCCATCTCCGTCTTACCCATGTACAACAAACCAAGACCCAAAGCCATGAACCTTATGAACTTGTTGTTCAATTGCGCAAAGTCCCTCTCCAAGAGAGTTTGCAAAATGGCAGATGTGATATCGCCGTGGCAGGTGCCGACAAAGACGTGACCAAGGGCCAATGAAGCCAATGCTGATACCTCACAAGACAAATCTGTGTCGGAAACAAGGGGCAACAACAAATTGAGAACTTCCTCGTTGGCTGAGCCAGCAAAAGCGAGACCAAGACCGTTGATGGCATTAGTTTGGAGTACTTTCTTTGGATCGGTGACATACTCTTGCAACAATGCCAAAGCTGCTTCGGCTTCGTCATGAATATTGGCAGAAACAACACCAGTACCCAAAAGAGCACCCGCCTTGACCTCATCTTCGGCAGAGTAAGTATATCTATCCAAAGCTTGCAAACCTTCATCGATGTTCCACTGATAGAGAGATCCCAAAGAGGCTGTTGATGAGATCATACCGGCACCTTTGGTTTTATAAATCCAAGATTGGCTATCTTGTTCACCTGTCTGAATGAAAAGTTTGTCAGAGCCGTAACCCAAGTTCAAGAACGCGTTGACAAATGAAGCCGCCAAATTCTGTTTGGCGGAGTCAATCTGGCCGAAACCAAAACGGGTGTTCTCTAAGTGGGACTTGTAAACATCTTCAGGAACCTTTGGGTCCAAAAGATTCAACTCTTTGACCAAATAGGCATAATATTCTGGAAGCTTCACGTTTGAGATGATCTCTTGAACATCACCTTCCTCGCCTGGGTAGTTAAAACGGTTGAACTGTTGAGACAATATAAATGCAAGCTGCTTGTGGATCAATGAGTCATGGGTCGACTCGAACACTTGCTTGATCAATCCCTCGTCGTCCAACTTGATGGCCAAAGTCAAAGCCTGAGTTAACTGGTTGTGCGTCAAGTAGATAGAGAATGCGGTATGCAAGAAAGCTGTGTCATCTGGAGGAGCCAAGAGAGGTACACAGCTTACCATGTAAAGACATGCTCTGGCGTATGTAGAGTCGTCCAAGTATTGCGGTAATTTCTCGATACTCTCGATTTCCAACAACAAATCCACTGCATCGGCTTCAGCGTTGTGTTTGAGGAAGAATGGAACTATTTTCAAAGACAATTGAACAATTCTGTCAATGAATGCCT